GGGGGGGGGGGGGGGGGGGGGGGGGGGGGGGGGGGGGGGGGCGTAGAGGGCAGATAGTTATTTCTCTCTTCCTATAAATGTTCACTTTAACAAGAGAAGAAGTGTCCAAGAGGGGGAAATTTGAGGTCAGTGGGGCCTTTCCTCTGAGGGCACCTCTTCCTGGGCCCTACACTGTGCCCACTAAAGCTGCACCATCTCCTGGGAGGTGGGACGAAGATGTCGACCCCTGGCTCCCTTTCGGTTTCTGCCAGCATTAAGTGCATTAGGGAGGGCACACTAGAGTGAGAGCTGCCACCAGAGTGAGGATAAGGCCACTCTGCTCCCAGGCCTTGTTCTCAGTTGCACTCATCCTACTGCCCTTAGTGACCACGGTGTCAGGAAACTGCGAGCATTGTTCTCACCAAAGAAACAAGCATCTTAGCCTCAAAGTCCCAAGGGTACTGAATGCTGCCATTTAGTGAGCACCTACACATGTGCCAGCCATATATTTATATATATTATCTCATATGATCCACACAGTGTCCTCCTGGGGTAGGTACCATTATCACCCCAATTGACGGAGGAGGAAACTGAGGCTCAGAGAGGTTGAAGAAGTTGACTAGGAAGTTGCAGGGCAAGGAGTGTGCCCAACTTCAGAGCCCATACTCTTTTAACCCCCATACCACATTGCTTCTCCCAAGGCCTTGTCTGTCCAATAAGCTTTCAAAGGCCCTAGGCCCTTCAGAGGGCAATCTGACCTTTTGAGCCAGCCAGTCCTCTTCTAGGATCTGATCTACAGAAAGAGCCACATAAGTGCACAAAGATATATGGACGAAAACATTCACAACAATGCTGTCCGTAATAGTAAAAAATCGGAAACACCACAAATGGGGAATTAGATACATTATGGTTCGTTCATACAACACCGTGCAGCCATTAAACATGATGTTGTAGAACAATATTTAATGACATCAGGAAAATCTTTGCTTTTTTTTATTCTTTGATTTCAAATTTTAAAATTATACAAATAATGTACAAACATTTTTGTGTAAAAGAAATCCATGCTATGTCAGGGGAAAAGCAAGTACTAAAACATTATTTATACAGTGATTACATTTTTATTCAAGAAAAAGAAAACATGCACACTGAATAAAGACTGGAAAGATCTGCTCCAAATGGTTACCAGTGGTGATCTTATGAGAGGAGTTGGGTGGGACTGAGGGAGTGAGGGAAAGAAGTGTTCACTTTCATTTTTTTTTTTTTTTTTTTGTCCTTTTTGAGACCGGTCGCACCACGCTCAGCCAGTGAGCACTGTGAGCGCACCGGTCATCCCTATATAGGATCCGAACCCACGGCAGGAGCGCTGCTGTGCTCCCAGCGCTGCACTCTCCCGAGTGTGCCACGGGTTCAGCCCAAGAAGTGTTCACTTTCTACGCCCTAGTTCTATTTGAATTTCAGAAGTACCTATTACTTTTATATCTATGAAAAAAGAAACAATATTTCAATTTTTGAAAAAATAAAATTAAATTAACAAACAAATAAGACCCAAGCTTCTGGCCTCCAATATGGAGTAGCAATGAAGTCATTATCCTGCTGCCTTTTGGCACCAGCTTCTGGAAGGATGGGGGTGGGAGTGGATAATGCCCAAAGTGCTTAAAAAATCCAAAAAGCCCAGGGTGCCTGGGCCCCCATCAGATGGGATTCCTAAACCTTTTTAAACTTTTGGTTAATGTCTATCTACTAGCTCTAAGCTGGGGAAAGAAAAATATCAGAAAAATGATGTTTGAGATGCTTGAGAAAATGATGTTTTGAAATCCTCCCCTGCCCTGCAGAGGAGGCCAGGGGTGGTAGCATGTGTCAGAGCTCTGGGCTCCAGATTGGCCTGTAGGGTGATTAGTGGCTGAAGGCAGCTGTGCAAGGGCTCTAACAATCACAGGAGTCTGGGAGGGGCAGGCGAGGAGAGGCAGACCACAGGCCAGGGCCTCAGGGGCCATCAAGGCAGTGCTGAGCTCCCCAGCCAAAACTCCTCCTCTAGGCAGGGCTGTCAGAACCTCTTGTCCAGCCCCACGGACTTCTAGAAGATGCCAAGTGGGACCCTGAGCTCTGCAAACCAAGATCTGAGGTCCAAGAGGCTGACTCTTCACAGCTGGAGACCCTGTACCCCACCCAAGTCTGGGATGTCAGAGGCCTGGGGAGCTGTAGCCTCTAGCCCCCCTTGGAAGGGTGGGGACAGGCTGGTTCAAGGCCCCTCCAGGTCCTGGGAACAGCCAGTGGAAGCTCCTCTGGGGCAGGCAAAGCTTAGCACTTAGGAGCTTGGGCTGACCCAAGTTCAAGTCTTGGCTCTGTCATTCACTAGTTGGGTCACCTTAGACATATCACTTTACCTCCTTGAGCCTTGGTTTCTCCATCAATAAAGGGAAGATAATAGTACTAGTCCCATGGGACTGTTAGGAAGATTTAATGAACTGGTGTATATAAAGTATTTAGCACAATGTGCAGCACAAAATAAATGCTCAATGAATGATCATGGGTCTGATCGCCTCAATTTGCACCACCCTTCTACTCCCATTTCACTCCTTTCAGGCTCTTCTCACCTCTGACCTCTAGTCAGTTCAGTGACCAAGAGCAAAAGCTTTGGAGTTTAACCAAAAGTGTTTTCAAATTCTGGTTCCCCCACTTACTGGTTATACAACTTCAGGTAAGTTACATACACATACATTTCTTTTCTGAAAAATAGGGATAATGATCTAATAATACCTACCTCTTGGGGTCATTAGAGAAATAATGAGATAATTCATATAAAGCTCCTGGAACACAGTAACAATAAATGGCGGCTATTTAACCTGTTTGTAAACTCCAGTGCGCTGAGCTCAAGACGGCATAAAGGCCATGTCCATATGTGCTTGTCTGTAGACTACTTGGCATTAGGGCCTGCCATGGCCCAGAGACAAACTGACATCCAAGCCCCCAGGAGGTGCTGGGATTCAAGGGTAGAGGGTGCCCAGAGAAGCTGGCAAGGACCATCTGAGGGGCCTGGGGCAGCCTAGCTCTGTCCGGTTCGCAGTAAGACAATCAGCCCTGGGCATAAGAGTTATGGTAGACAACTCCCTTGCACTTCCATGGGATGCTAGAAGGAAGAGGATAAAGGCCAGATTCAAGCAGAGTTCAAGTCCAGCCAGCTCCCCACCAGTTCAGACTTAGAGCCACCTTCCTCCTCTCCTTCCCACCAGGGAAAGCAGCTGGAGGCACTGGACATCTCAGCTGAACTCTCTCCCCCTCTCACTCTCTGCCTCTGTTTCACAACCTTACTTTAGACTACCCCAGGCATGTTCTGACCAGCTCCCCCAAAGGCCTCTACAAATTCCCTCTCCTGCTTCCCAAGCCCAATGGCACCATGATGTGATACATGGCACTGAGGCCCCAGCCCCTGCTAGTCAGCTTCCAACTTCTCACTCACACAGCTCTGCGCCCAAGGCTTTTCACAGAAGTGGAGGCTGCAGCTGGGCCATGAGAGACCAAGGGCATTGAAACAAAAGCTAAGAGAGGTTTTTTTAAGGGGAAAAAAAAAAAACCCAAAAACAAACAAACAAAAAATCTACTAATCACCATGGTCTCAACAAGGCCCAACACCTTCCCCCCTCCAAAGTCAGGAAATTCAGGATGAAGTATGAGGTTTCCCAGCTGGGGAAAAGACGTGGCTCTCCCACCTCTCCTTCACAATAGAGGTTACCCTGGCTTCTCACACAACGTCAGCCACATTACATATTACTCAGCCAACAACACAATCAAGTGGGAAGGAACTGCCTCCCCTCTAGACCCAGCCAAGACTCCTCAAATCAGGAAGGACCTAAATCAATGGAATTCTATAGCACTTGATATGTAGGCTTCACCTTTTCCTATAACTTCACAGTGACCAATATAGCATTTGTATACCATTGCCTCTGGGACCTGCCAGGGATAGCATCAGAAAGAGCCCAGGGCAATGGCCCTCATAAAGGGACAGCCAACTTGACTGTGGGAACCTGGTAAGGCAACTTCCTGACTTTCTGTGCTTAGGAACCCCCACCATCAGTTCAACCTAAGTTCAGGGGTCTGGAAAGAGATTTAAGAGATTTAAGTTTAAAACAAAAATTCAACAACCACCCCCATCTCAGCCCAACTACATACAGTCAGCCCTCTATATGCCTAAAATGGAGAGATCAGTAATATCAATCCAAAACGATTCAAGGATTGCATTGCTGACCACATGCAAATACTGTAATTCTAAATCACTGGCAATGCAATTTCTCCTAAAGTTAACCCTAGCATGTGGTCAGTTTTCAACAAGTGTTTATTGAATGTTAAATAA